ATTATGCTTCAAAATAAAGTCGTGTGTTTAAAGTGGAAAAAACGTGAGCAAAACGTAAGAGGACAAGACCAGAGCTGACAGCAAAGTGACAGACACAGTCCTGAGAGGGAGGATGACGGTGACTAAGTGACCCATCTGTATATTCCCTGAGCGGATCCTTTCTCTTTCAGAGATTGCTTCTTCCAGGTTTTTTTTTTTCTTCTGGTTTTCATTTGTTTGTTTGTTTGAGACAGGTTTTTCTCTGTGTAGCCCTGACTGTCCTGGAGCTCGACCTGTAGACCAGTCTGGCCTTGAACTCAGAGATCCACCTGCCTCTTCTGGCATTAAAGATGTGTGACTAGCTAAATTTCTTTTTAAGCTTTTGTTTTCTTTCTTAGATGGCCTTGAATAAATTCTGGTGGTCTAGTTCTCTCTTGCAGAATCTTTGTTTCCAAACAGGACGTACTGACTGATGATTGGTTTACAGGCAGCCTTCCATGGTGAGCATGCACCTGGAAATAGTGACACAAAGGAATAATCTGTTTTTCCATGATTGAAGAAACTTCCACAGGCCCCTCATTCATTCACTGTCTTATTAAACTATCTTACTCTATCCCTAGATAATGATTTTAAAGCAAGAAAATGTGAAGTTCATTACATGCCCAGGATACATGAGTCTGAAACAACTAGCCTGTGGGCTTTTCTGTTTCGTTTTGTTTTTCAAGACAGGGTTTCTCTATAGCTTTGTCCTGGAACTTGCTCTGTAGACCAAACAGGCCTGGAAACTCCCAGAGATCTGCCTGCCTCTGCCTCCTGAGTGCTGGGACTAAAGGCGTGTGCCACCACCGCCCGGCCTACTCTGAGGTTTTAATGACAATCCAGAAAGCATGTTATCATACTGGTTATCAGCGAGAAGTAGAAATCCACTGGATGGCACAATCAGAGGCCAAAAGAGTTCAGCGGGCCATTGGATGTGCTGAAAGAAGGAAGGAGCATGCAGATGAGGGTCTGCCGGAAACCATGCAGATACATAGGCCGGCAGTAGAAGCAAATGGGCTTTGACTGCCGTTCTGGAAAAGCCACAGGGGGCTCAGCTAAGAGGAAGCTCTGCAAGAGACCTAGACATGAAGGTGTCCATCAAAGAGATTGCTTTGATCTTAGGTGGCAGTGACACAAGCACAGGGGACTTTTGGTGGCCCTTGGGAGGAGGAGGACGAACAGGGTGAGGCTGGGCAAGCAGTATCAGTGGACAGACCACCCTGGATAAATCCAGAGAGCTAATCAACAGTGCCAGCGACAACCTGGCCAGGGAAGGTGGGAGGGGGAGGGTTTGCACAGGGTGAGGGTGTCCTGGGCCTGTCACCCTGGGTGGCACAAGCAGAAGCTAATGCAGAGCATGCACATGGAGGCTCTGGTTGTTCCTTTCCCCGAGCTTCCATCCACCCAGTGCGCTGTCCATTTGAACTCCTGGCCTCATTACTAGGCCTTTTTGTAAGTACATGAACTACTGACGCACACTGTTCTGTCTCTCCCTCCCTCCTTCCCCTCTCTCTCTCCTCTGTCTGTCTCTCTCACACACACATAATTAAAAAATAATTAAGTACATAACCAATCTTAGCTAGATATGATGGTTCACGCTTTTAATCCCAGCACACAGGAAGCAGAGGCAGGCAGATCTCTGTGAGTTTGTGAATTCCAGGCCAGCTAGGGTTACATGGTGAGACCTGTCTATAAAACAAAACAAAACCCTTAACTTTAAGAGAAGGGAAATAGTGGTCACGACACTTGCTCAATCCTGAGTATATGTTACCTGCAGAGATGTCAATAAGATGGACTCTTCCAAGGGAAGCTTGGAGAAATTTCTAGAACATGTCAATTGAGCAGTGGTCAAGAAGACATAGACAGGAAGCCTAGAGATAAAGTCATTTTTGTGAGTGTTCAGTCAATGTTCATGAGGGGTTATCAGAGCCATAAAGAGGAGGTTATACCAGACATCCAGAACTTCGTTCAGCAAATAAGTAGAAGGACTTTGCTCTCCTCCTCTCCTTACAGGGCCCTGTGCGCTTTAGGCATCCCATGGTCTACTGCTGGACTGTACCTCTGGGACTCGGGTGGCTTAAATAAACAAGACTTTAGTTGTTATTGTTTTAGTGGGCTGATCCATTTCTGATCAATAAATCTGTAAGATACTACCTAGTCAGAAATTCCTGCAAGAGATGTGGAAGTGTGTTCTTAGACCAGGGAGACTCTCTGTCCCCAGAAGATGTCCTAGGGGGTTTGTCTGTTTGTCTGTTTTTCTTCCAACAATGCAGTAGGCTTTGATAAGATCATCAGTGGCTGTAAACAAGCTGTGTTGTGTATCAATGGGGACTTTTCTCCAACAACAAAGTTTAGTGTGCCCTGCCTTTTTTTTTCTTTTTTGTAGGAAGACCAGCTCAGTTCCCCTCCTGTCACTCTTGCTGATGCTCTACCCTCTTGTTCAGCCCCGAATATTTAAGCTATTAGCTGGACAACAGCATTCTTGAATAGAGGCAAGAAAGGAACGTCAAGAGAATGTGGCTGATAGCACGAGAGAGTGTCTGGTTTTGCTAGGCGAGCAGGAGATGAATGCTCTTTTGTACGTGGGCAGGAAGCAAGCAGATAATCTACAGCAAATAGCCTTTCATACATGCCAAACATGTTGAATTTGATCTGTCCCATCAGTAGGATCTAGCCAACCTCTTTCATGATTCAGTTTGAAGAGTCCTGTAGCCCATTATTCAAAGGTGATAGCACTTTCGGTAGAAGGGCTAAGCCTCACTCCTTTATTCTCCACATCAAAGTGAAATTGAAATCGTGAGTGAAACAGTTTGTATCATTTTTAAATTCTTAATAATAACAATAGTAATGAAAACCTATAGAAGAAGTAACAGTGAGGAAATTGCTGGCTGTACTTAAAAGCCTGGAACTTTTCAAAGGAAGAGTTGGAGGAACTTATGGAGAACCACAGCATACAAATCTAAGTTAGGTCAATTATGAGTCCATCAGTCTTAGATAATTGAGTAATATTTTAGCATAGCATCATTGATGCACATCTTAGGTTATAGATTGTTTTGGCTGTCGGTCAGATACCTGTTTGGCTTCGTAAACTCATTGTGGGATCAATTCGGGTAACAGGCTCCTGTCTGTTTGAGTACTTAAAAATATCAAAACGCCTTTTGAAAACAACGTGTTAAACTAAACCTTTGCGGGATATGCATGGGGAGCTTCCCCGCCCCCCAAGTCAGTGGTGCCCCTACAGCGGCCATGCCTGTTTTCTGTGTTTGTGGAAGACTCCACACCCCTTCAGCATCGTGAACCTCTGCGTTGTTGTTATCTTGGGTTCTTGATCAGCCTGCTCAGCGCACGCACGTTAAGCCCCTCCAGCCCGAGGCTTTCCATTGACAAGCTCTCTCCAGTCCAAACACCTGCTGCTTATGGGCAGTACCGATTTCGTGGAAGATGTGTGGGTGTGACAAGAGCTCCGGACGAGAGGCAGAGAGAGGGACAGTTGGAAGCTGTGGGTGTGTCTCAAGCCGTCTGGGGCTGTAGATTCAGCGGGGAGAATGATAGCTACCTAGAATGGCTGGCATTCCGAGCGTGATTCTCGGTAGGAGAATCTGAGGCGCTGGAGGCAGAGCCAGAGCGCGGGAGCACCGACCCTAGTGGAGGGGTATGGGGAAATCGGAACCCGATCGGGAAGCCCGCAGGTTCATAGCGGCCTTTCTTTTCTCCTGGACCGTGAAGGAGACAGCAATCTGGTTCGCTGGGGCTCTGCGGCGGCTCCGGGTAATAACTGAAGCTGCTGGTGGTGGTGGCCCAAAACTTTTTTTTTTTAACAGTGAGGCAACTCAGGTTGCGCAACCTTCCCTGCCGGAGATTTAGTCTAGTCCTTCAGGAAGAGCCGCTGGTCCCATTTAGGAGCCATTTTATCATGGGCATCTGGCAGGTTCCAATGAGTTATTTTTCAAATCTGCATTATTTACAAGGACAAGACTGGGCTGCTCCGTGGAGGCCGGGACGACTTCAGCCTTTGAGTTAATGGATGCATAATTGAGGAACAACGTGGAATTAGTGTCATCGTAAATGATCTAGTGCCTCAAGTTAATTTCACCCGTTTTTGTTTCAAGAACATTCAGGTCAGTCATCTTGGCTAGTCAGCTCCCACCAAAAAAGATTTCTTTTCCATCCAGCATTTCAGACACAGAGTTCAAGTTCTTGGCCCTTACAAGTTGCAGGCGCATGTTTCACGCCTTGTCTTTTTAAAAAGGTAGCATGTTATTCCTTGTTTTGCTTCTAGGAAGCAGGGGGTTGAGGAAATGACTTGGGCGGGTGCATTAATGCAACCGAAAAAGACAGACTCCCTCCCCTGGGACCTGCACTGCTCGCACTCTTTCCGAAGGTGCCTGGCAAAGCGTCAGGTTTTTTCGTACGCTTCGGGTCCAAGTGCCGTATGCGGAGGGTCTCGGGAGCCTTTCTCGGGAACCTTTCTTCGATGTCTGGGAACAGTCTGGCCGGGTCAGAGACCGGCGGGACCGCTCAGGAGAGGGCCCGACTGAGCCTCGTTTCCCGGTGCCAGGGACACCGTCGCGGAGGCGCGGCCAGCTTCCCTAGGATAAGACTTCCCGCCCCAGGGGCAGGGCGGTGCACTTAGCCGGTTCCCCTCCTCAGTTTCGGGCGGTCACCAGAGCTGAGTAAGCCCGGTGGAGGGAACCGGGCAAGGATTTCCTGAGAGCGATGGGCAGGAGGGGCGGGGGCAGGAGGGCACGGAGCAAGGACCCTGAACCTGCAAACCTGCCGAGGGACCCGCGCTCCCAGCGCCTCCGCACGCGCGCTCCTGCTCCGGGCCACCCGCCCTCGCTGGCCCCCGCCCCTCCGGGAGGAAGAAGAGGGTAGGTGGGGAGGCGGATGAGGGGTGGGGGACCCCTTGACGTCACTGGAAGGAGGTGCCGGGGTAGGAAGTGGGCTGGGGAAGGTTATAAATCGCCCCCGCCCTCGGCTGCGCTTCAGCGAGGTCCGCAGGAGGTTCGGAGCGCGGCGGCGGACACTCCCCGGCGGTAGTGGCGGTGGCGGCTCGGAGCGGGCTCCGGGAGTCCAGCGCATCGTCTAGAGGACGCCGGACCGCGAAGATCCCCCGGGCTGCAGGCGCGGAGAAGGGCTCTCGCGGCGCCTGGCAGGAGCGCTAGGGGACCGGCTCGGGCGGCTGCGCTATCGGCCTCGGAGAGCGCGGGCACCGGGCCAGCAGGCCGTGTCGCGCTCACCATGGTCAGCTGCTGGGACACCGCGGTCCTGCTGTGCGCGCTGCTCGGCTGTTTGCTTCTCACAGGTGAGGCGCGCCAGAGACCCCACACCGGAGCTCGGCGGGGATGGGCAGCCGCGGGGTGTTCCGAGAGAGCGTGGCTGAAGCCTGGGAAGCGAGCTCCGGCGGGAGCCGGGGACCCTTGCAGCCGGCACTCCTGGGGACACACTTTTTTCTTTTCTTTTACGTCCCGGAGTGGGCTCCTTTGGAAGTGGCTGGCCTGGGCCGGTGAGCATCACCGTCCAGACTATCTTTAGCTCCACGCTGGGGTCACTTTCGGGTTACTGGTTGCAGCCGGAGTCGCTAGTCCTCTGCCCAACTCCTGGGTAGGGTCTCCTTCCCTAGACTCTGGGTGCGCAGATTGCCACACGCGTGGACCTTTCTGGCATCCAGAGCATTCTCCCAGGCGGTGGCTGGAGCAAGCAAGACGTCGGAGAGGCTGCAGGGCTGGACAGATGAGGGGACGTTAAAGATAGATGCTGGTCACTATCCAGGATCTCGTGCTCCTAGAGCTAAGGAGAAGGACAACTTTGGGGAGGGTCGCGTGCCGGCGGGGAGCCGATGGAGCCCAGAAGAGGGTCAGCTCCGATTCCGGGACCCGCTTGGGACCGTCCCAGGGAAGTCGGGGAACTCTCAGCCAGTGCTGTTCTTCTCAGCGATTCGCTGGGCGCCGTCTCCCGGGTGGGGCCTCCGCGAGAGCGGACCGGGTGCGAGGTCCCGGTGGTCGGCTTGAATGACCCAAAGCGACCGGAGCAGCTTAGGGTCTAGATAGCGTCAAGTTTCGGAATCGTAAGCCCTTGGCTTTAGGTTGTGAATCTAGAAAGAACTGACAATTTGGACCAAAAGATGTGATTTGAGGAATTAAGTGAGGTGTGCGCACCTCCTAAATCAGCCTTCGTTGGGATGTGAAAAATCCGCGGTGGACCGATCTGGGACCAGCAGAGACCGTTGTCACCCAGAGGTCAAAGCTGGACGGACCACGGGAACTCCAACTCTAAGTCCCAGCGCAGCAGGCGGGAGCGGCGAGAGGTCCCGTGTGGTCCCTTTCCGCAGAGCCGGATAAGAGAACGCGAGAGCGCCTTTCTTTAAAGCTACTTGGTGGGGAAAGAAGACGGGGAAATAGTCAAGTAGAATTGTAATGTCCCCAGAAAGAAAGGCGACTAGGTTAAGCGTGGTTTTTAAAAGCAGTAAAAGTAAGCCTTTTAGAATGTGAAGACTGGACACTCATTTCAAAGTAATGAGCAGGAGTTGGTAATGAAAATAGATTGAGATGGCAAAAGAACTCGATGCGGATAGATGTTAAAATAATGATATCAAATATTTTCTATTTCACGAATGTTTTTGAAAAGCTGCTTATATGACAATATAATTGCTTAGAGAGTTGAAATGCTAACTTATTATGTAAAGTCAAGGCTAGGTTAAAAAATTACTTTGAGCCTCCAAATTATAGAGGGAAAAACACGTTTTATTGAATTTTCTGCTTCACTCGGATGTCTTTACCTCTTGTTTTTAAAGCGTGCTTGGTTTTAGCTAAGAGTCATTTTATCTGTGTTTGAGAACAGCGGAGGCAGATTGAAGCTGTACGGGAACGTGAGAGGGTCGGACGGTGGATTTATTACACGGCTCGCCAGGTTACACCCTCAGTACTTACTGTTACGAACGCCGTGATTCGGATACTTTCGGGTCCCTCTGTATGGAGACCACTGTTTCTATGAAAGTTATCCGTCCTCTGTTCAGGTTTGAGGCACCACACCCTTTATTAGAATCTCTCTGTCTCTGCCTCTCTGTCTCTCTCTCTGTCTCTCTGTCTCTGCCTCTCTGTCTCTCTCACTTTCTCTGTCTCTCTCTCTCTCCATTCCTTTCTCCCTCCCCCTACTTTTGTTCAAGCAGCTGAAGTTTAGAGCAGAACTAATTAGAAATACCTAAATTGTGGGAATTTAGGGAGGGGGGAAATGTTCTCCATAGTAACACTAAATTAAAAAAGAAAATTATGCAAACAACACACCATACAGGTGTAAGGTCCTTGTTTATAACCCTAGAACTCAGGGCCTAAAGCAGAGGGAAGTGGGCAGAGTTCTCACCAAGCATGGACAACCTCTGTGGAGCAACTTAAAAAGCCAGCCTGAACTACACAGGGAATCCCTCTTTCAAAAAACAATGCCCATTCCTGAATTGAATAGAATGCATTTCTTATACTACTGATATAGTATCATTTTACATAGTGGTTTTTACTGTTTTCTCCAGGGCTTACAGAATTGTGCTTTTCCAAAAATTTCATACTTTAAGTGATCATTATTTAGGACCCTTAAGAGTTTACATAGTTTTCTGGTCAATCATCTGATGGATCGACTGATCAATCATGTTGCACATAAGCTGTAAACAAGGTGGCCACTTAGTTTCTTTTAAAAAATGTACAATATTAATTTTATGGGTGAAAAATATTCAGTAGGCTATATAGCTTCTTTTCTGATGATCCCCAATTGTTTTTTTCTTCTAAAAATGCAGAAATTAGAAAATACTGTTGATTTTTGTTGTTGTTGTTTTCCTTTTGTTTGGTTGGTTTTTTTTTTTTTTTTTTTTTTTTGGTTTTGGTTTTGGTTTTCTAGACCAAGTTTCTCTGTGTAACAGCCCTGACTGGCCTGGAACTCTCTCTGTAGACAGACCAGCCTCAAACTTACAGAGATCCACCTGCCTCTGCCTCCCCAGTGCTGGTATTAAAGGTGTGTGCCACTGTTGCCCAACCTAAAAATATCGGTGATTTCTAAGTCTCCTTTCCAACTATAAAATTCAGTGAAGGAAGTTCTAGAAACAAACAGAATGAAGTCTTTCCCTTTTCTCTTCTCCTCTCCATTCTTATGCATGTTAGTGGGTGCTAAGCAGTTGACACTGGCTGGTGAGCTAGGCCTCTGTTATGAGGCTCACACCTCCTCTTCTCTGGTAGAATGCAATTGATCCTTAGTGGACTTTCATTTTGCAAGGGGTGAGCTGGTGGTGGAGGATGCCTCAGCCAGGAGGTCATTAGCTTGCCCCCCCACTCCTCAGCAAAATGTGTAATTATGACAGAGACAAGTCACATTAATCTTTCTGAGGATATCAGTCACTTTAGTCCCCTATATATAGCTTGGTTTAAAAAACAAAAAGTCAACACTTACTTGTTTTTTAAAAACAGCTATGTTCTAAAACTGTTCTAGATCCCAACAAGGCCACTAAACTTATTTGATAATTGAACCTATTTTTGTGTATGTGTGTGACTTCTGAAAGACAAACCAAATAATTGCTTTCTTTTTCATCTCCCAAATATGGAGGCATTTCTAAATCCTTGAATGTGTATCATGTAGAACTTGAAGTGATATATCACCAAGAAAGAAAACAGAAACAAGCAGTAGGTTTTATAATGACACTCACCCACCCATCCCTTCAAGAAAGTGATTCCCTGAGGGAAATAAGATAGTGTAACACAGCAGGATTGTGGCTGTTTTTTTTCCCTGCCCGGTGAAATTGAGCTAGGAAGAGAGTGCAAACTGTCTGCTGGCTGATGGTAGCAGGGTTTGGTTCAGCCCAAGCTAAGTGATGTGAGGTCACCACAGGTAAAAACCATTTTCAGTGGACTTCACATTGTACATACACAAGGGAGGATTGTCTAAAAGCATAAAAACATCTGGTGCATTGGGTTTAGCTTGACAGAACAGAACAGGGCATCCTGTGCACTGGCTTCTTTCTGCTGAGCAGCTCCAAGGATGCTTTCCAGGGCTGCTGTGAAGGCCCAAGCGGTGGGTGCCTTGGATGCTGCGTGCTGACTATTGAATTGCTGGACTTTATACCAGACTGAAGGAAGGAAATGGGGGGAATGGAGTATTTGAGGGAAAGCTGGAGAGCAAAGCGTCCGACTTAGCAGCACTGTCGGGGGTGTGGGGGTGTTCATTAAGGAAACGGTTCTCCTCAGTCTGCTGAAGATAGTGGGCTAGATTTCCTGCATTGTTGCTGGGCGGATGTGGGGGGATGTCAAGAATTTCTGGGCATTTCCCATCCGCTTTTGCAAACCTGGATGCTTTAAGACCATTTCTGATGACTGCATCAGTCTCCCATGTCAGGCTCCTTGGGAGGGAGACTTGATCTGTCCCTCACACACATCCATCCCCCACCTCCACCCCCCCAACCCCCCCACCCCCCGCCGTGAGCTACCTCATTGACTCAGCTTCAGGAATTGAGAAAGCAGTTTTGTGATATTTTCTCAGCTCTGCTGTTAGCCACTGGCAGACCCAGGAAGACACTGTGCTGGTCATCCCACAGTCATAATTTCTTCTTCATTTTGTGTATTTCCTCTACCACAGACAAAATGGGGACATCCAGATATTTGTTGAGTTAGTATTTCAATCCAAATTTTTCTAAACCATGGTATCTATTTACTTATTTATTATAATAATAATAATAATAGTACTATTAGAATTTTGTGGTGCTAGGTATCAAGCCTAGGATCTGTCACAGGCTGGACAGGAACTCTATCATTGAGCTACTTTCCTAACATCTCCTTTAGCTTGAGTTTGTCTTCTATCAAAGCCCATAAAGGGTTTACATGAAGAACTTCAAGAGGCTCACTGCTTAGAAACCCATGAAGATATTTGTGCCAAGATTAATTCTCCTCATGAGCCCTTGGGCTCCCTTTGGGATGGCTGTGGTTTATGGCACTGGATTAATCTTGTCATTTGCTCCCTCCACATTCTGTTCATCTGTGCTAATTCTGCCCCTGTCAAAGAAATTGCCCTCTTTCCAAAGGGCCTTCCTGCTGCTGGACTCCCTGGCCCATGCAAGATCATTGGCTCCTTCCCACCCCTTCCTCCCTACCTGGGAAATTCAGCGCAGCAGGGCAGCTCCTCCTGGTGCCTCAGGACAGAAGGAGGGCTTCTCCTGCCCTCCTGGGACCTGAATATGCAGCCTCCTGTAGGGTCTGTCACCTGCACTATTTGCATGTTAGGTGTCTGTGTCCTTCCTCTTTGGGGGAAGAACCTGTGTCTTAGTTCTTTGATTCA